ACTCCTGGGTGTTACTAACTGCTTTACTCTGGAACTGATTCGGCATACTCTGGAACTCCGTGACTAGCCACTTCACTAGTTTGTGGGTGGGGGAACTAACTGCAGACACGATCTCTCTCATTTCATTTCCCGATTTGAGAACTTTGGGGAGACCTTTTATCCTGGATAGAATGGGATTGGATTCCCGTAAACGGCCTGCTCCATCTCCTAATATTGATTTGCACTCCTTCAGTGCTTAAAAAAAATCTAGAACTCTCCGCCAACTTCGTAGCGTAATTTGCTATACCTGATACATGGTATGGCCAGTCACAACTTCTGAAATCCTCCCTCCCCCTCAACTGCTACGCCATATGTTGATGGTCCCTTGCCTATAAAATTATACATTACCGAAAACCTCCGTTGATTTATATATCCCATGCTCATGCACTGTTTTCAACTATCAGCTATCAATCAATAATGAGAAGAGATGTGAAGAAATGTGAAACAATATGAGCAAGTGTGATAAAACGTGGCAAAATGCTGAACATTATGGAATTTCTGATTTTTTTTTCCTTTGTACAACTATTTATACGGGAACATAAGTTACACTATTGAATTCAAGAGGTGACACCAATTACCAGAGAGTGCCATCGGCCAACCATGCAAATTGCACTAATTGCCTCCCCTCGTCTATTCGCGAAGTAACGCCTCCAAAGAAGAATTACATTTTCCCTAGTCAGCGGAAACCAAAGCCGTTGGCAGGTTGTGAACCAAATGACAAGAGGCTCCATCCACTGCACGTTGTACGAGGAGATAAATACTTTGACTTTCCAGATGGGACTGATGGCCTTTGTTACACTTTGGGGAGTACAGTGCTGCTGCACATGACCAAGCCCTCGGGGGGGTTGTCTCGCAAATTGTATTGTTTGCATTGTTCTGCTGTTTCGGTGGGTTTATGATTTATATCTACGTGGAGACAAATTTCAGCTCTGCGGTAAAATTGTCAGCTGTGACTAGAACCTAACCCGAACATTTGTCAATGGTGAGTCAGGAAGACTTTTCAACACGTATCTTTATGCTTGGAATTTATAAGTTCTAAAAGGTTTTTACGACTGCTGAGCATGAATTCATCATAAGAAACGTTTCAATTAATCCACACTTGATGTCACCCCACCACGCGCAAGCAATCAAATGGAACTTTCTATGACATTCACAGTAATAACAGTTTTATTGGCACTTAAGTGTTACCTTCTCCACTTTAGGGAACTGAAGGCACTATTTATAATGCTAGTTGGAGCACACAGCGTCAAACGACACACGTTTATTAAAAGCACTCGCTGTAAAACTATTAACGTAAGCTCGAATTTATGTGTTAATAATTTATCATCATAAATTTAAAACGGGACTCCGCCCGAAACTTTCTCCATACATCACATAGCTCAGTTTGCTTCAGGCAGGGCAGGGTTGCTGCTGAAATTGGTAGTGTGGGTGGAGAATAGTTTTGGTCTGAAACGAGAAGTAAACTTACCGCTCGTGGATAAGCGTTTCCCACAGCCAACGGAGAGCGCTGACGGGTGTTGCTAAACTAGAAGACATTGGATCTTAATTCGCTGGCACTTGGTAGGCAGGGAGGGGTGGTGGTGGGGCGGATTCAGACTGTTTGCTCATTTTCCTCGACTTGAACTTCGTGATACGGCGGTGGAATTCACTGGAAGGAAACAGACAGCTCTACAAGTGGAAGCAGAAAATTTGCAATCCGCTTCCCATCTTGCACTTGCTTAACTCATTCCGTAATTTCATCTGATCCCGATGATGTCGGTTGTGCTCGTGTTCGGTGATAATGTGCGCAAAGACGGTGGATGTTTTATCTTTCTCAAGCTGTTATGAAGAACGGAATTTTGTGCGAAGAAGCTCACAGAATTCCCGGCATCGGAAATAAGGTGGATTAGCATTGGAGCGCATAAGAAAATAAACCTCATGGAAATTCCGACAACCATCCCACCACCTGCTCCTAGAGATCTCGTCGAGACGAAGGAAATGGAAATGTAGAAGCCCTGAGTTTCCAGAAATGGTTGGCGAAAATGCATCTGCGTTGTGTCGGCTTGCCTCTGCTGCTGCTGCTGCTTTTCGCATAAATAAATTATGTGCGATAATTAAACTTAATTATGGAGGAACGTAAGCGCGCACGCTAGAACCCATTTTCGAACCATAAAAGACATTCACGGGTGAAATTTGCTAAACTATTATTACTGCAATTTGTGAGAAAGTTTTTCTTTGGTTTTGCTCCGCAGGAGCTATAAACAAGTTGTTTGGTTTTGCGTGATTTGTGCGAATCTGCTGGAGATTTATGGTAATTATCTGAAATGAAGGAATTTGGCGCGCTTTAATGTCCCTTGGATGAGTGAGAAAAGTCAACTGATTCATCATAAATCATAATTCTTCAAATTGAAGCACCACGTTTTGAACATGCAACTTCGATAAGGAACTCACAATTTAGCACGTGACACCGAACAAAAGCGTCTATCTCTGGCCTTGGTAGTGGATCGTGCCACTTTCAAGTACGATGAACCCTGTGGCGACCGACGACAGAGGTAGATATGTATGTAGATACTTAACAATCCGCGCAAAACCCTTGTCACGCTTACCGCTGCTCGTTCAGACATCAGACAAGGCAATGTTCCTCGTAGTACAACAATATTGCTGGTGGCGAATCAGTCTGTTGTCCACTGTTGCACAGTGGAAGGGACTTTCATGAAAATGGGTTTGATGAGGCTTACCAGTTGAATGGAATTTCAAGCTATTAAATGTTAAGCGTTGAGGCACTAGATCTTGAGACAAACATGTATTGTAAAATATTGTGAATGGTTTTTTTTAATAACTTGTCTGAGTGATATAAGTGGATAGAAACGTCAAAATTCAAACGAAAGAATCCACAAAAATAAAACTGTATAAAAGTCGTTCATAAATCATAAACTAATGAACCATACCAAAAATTTCAGTTGAATTAAAAGCAAACAAAACTGGACCGACAATTTTGATGAGGCGGACAAAAAAAAACAAAATATACAAGACAGATAAGACAAGACTGACAATACAGACAAGACAGACAAGACAGACAAAACAGACGAGACAAACAAGACAGACAAGACAGACAAGACAGACAAGACAGACAAGACAGACAAGACAGACAAGACAGACAAGACAGACCAAAGAGACAAGACAGACCAAACAGACCAAATAGACAAGACCGACAAGACAGACAAGACAGACAAGACACACAAGACAGACAAGACAGACAAGACAGACAAGACAGACAAGACAGACAAGACAGACTAGACAGACAAGACCGACAAGACAGACAAGACAGACCAAACAGACAAGACAGACAAGACTGACAAGACAGACAAGACAGACAAGACAGACAAGACAGACAAGACAGACAAGACAGACAAGACAGACAAGACATACAAGACACACAAGACAGACAAGACAGACAAGACAGACAAGACAGACAAGACAGACAAGACAGACTAGACAGACAAGACCGACAAGACAGACAAGACAGACCAAACAGACAAGACAGACAAGACTGACAAGACATACAAGACAGACAAGACAGACAAGACAGACAAGACAGACAAGACAGACAAGACAGACAAGACAGACAAGACATACAAGACAGACAAGACAGACAAGACAGACAAGACAGACAAGACAGACAAGGCAGACAAGGCAGACAAGGCAAACAGGACAGACCAAACAGACAAGACAGACAAGACAGACAAGACAGACAAGACAGACAAGGCAGACAAGACAGACAAGACAGACAAGACAGACAAGACAGACAAGACAGACAAGACAGACAAGACAGACAATACAGACAATACAGACAAGACAGACAAGACAGACAAGACAGACAAGACAGACAAGACAGACAAGACAGACAAGACAGACAAGACATACAAGACAGACAAGACAGACAAGACAGACAAGACAGACAAGACAGACAAGACAGACAAGACAGACAAGACAGACAAGACAGACAAGACAGACAAGACAGACAAGACAGACAAGACAGACAAGACAGACAAGACAGACAAGACAGACAAGACAGACAAGACAGACAAGACAGACAAGACAGACAAGACAGACAAGACAGACAAGACAGACAAGACAGACAAGACAGACAAGACAGACAAGACAGACAAGACAGACAAGACAGACAAGACAGACAAGACAGACAAGACAGACAAGACAGACAAGACAGACAAGACAGACAAGACAGACAAGACAGACAAGACAGACAAGACAGACAAGACAGACAAGACAGACAAGACAGACAAGACAGACAAGACAGACAAGACAGACAAGACAGACAAGACAGACAAGACAGACAAGACAGACAAGACAGACAAGACAGACAAGACAGACAAGACAGACAAGACAGACAAGACAGACAAGACAGACAAGACAGACAAGACATACAAGACAGACAAGACAGACAAGACAGACAAGACACACAAGATAGACAAGACAGACAAGACATACAAGACAGACAAGACAGACAAGACAGACAAGACAGACAAGACAGACAAGTATTTTTCTTGGAATGTAATAAATTATGAAAATTCAAATGTGGGGTCCTAAACAATACATATTTTGTAGTAGCACCCCAGTATTAAACGAAGTGGCAGATGGAGCGGCTCGAAAACTTTGGTGACGAAGCTGCTATTGTAATTTTTCATTGTACCACTATTCAGTGTACTACTACTAGGCAACACTACTACTACTGGATTTATTTGTATTAACTTGAGAACCATGCTGAGATTATGAAAATTACATTTAACAAATCAGATAACAAATAACATTGAATGTCCCTTCTCAGATTCCGATAGTAGGCCGTTTCTAATTTTTGGAAATTTTTTCCTTTTCTTTTCTTTTCTTACCTCCCAAAATAGGGGTCAAATGCTTAACCTTGTGAAAAGATGCTTCATCGACTAAAGAAAACATTTAAAACTTACTTTAAATACGTCCCATTTGTGAACATTAAAATCATCAAGTATCCGTGCTTAAGTCATCGAAACTGAAAGTACATTTATGTTTAGATTGAAACCTATACCAGTTTGTAAAGTAGCAATTTTTAGTGGGCGCTATCACAAATATTTCATGGAAATGAAACCGAATCCGCTGTAAACGTACACCTGCCGGTTCTAAAGCTTAGTGTTAATAGTTTTGCAGTCTGTTTGTGGTATCGACAGCATACACTGTTTATTTAGTCAAACGTGCGTGCTTAACCTCATTCGTCATCCTTCATTAAAGAGCTCACGATAAGCGTAGTTGCTACTCCGATACCGAACATCAGCACGTATGGCAGGAACTTCATCGATAATCCTTGCCCGAATAAAAATTCACCATACAAAAACAATAGAACCTATTGTTACAATACAATAAAACCTATTGTAGCAACAATAAATGTTATTGTTAAAAACAATAAAAACACAATAGAACTTATTGTTATGTACAATATAATCTATTGTGTATGAGACATTTACAATAGAAAAGGGGAGTTGTTAGTTACCGTAACCATAAAAAAATCTATTTTTTCTCTAAAAAATTTGATCTCATAACAATAAATTTTATTGTTTTTTTATTGTGCAAAATTTTGATTCCATAGAATTTGTTGTAAACCTATTGTGGTGACTATTTGATTATCTGGCCAATACAATAGAGTTACAATAAAATTGATTGTCAACAATAGAATCTATTGTATTTTATTGGTATTTTATTGTAATTGTATGGTTATTTTTATCCGGGTGGCGCTTCTTCAACAGGGCCGTCAGGAAGGATAGCTTGCTATCCGAATATGGTGGATATCGAGAGGAGGCCAGCTTCTCGCTTATCGGATTGAAGTCCTTTGCCAAGCACGACTTTCTGTGGACGAACGTATCGAACGAGTACTTTCCGTGATAGGCACCCATTCCACTTGGTCCAACACCTCCGAACGGTAGTGTTTCAACGGCGTACTGCATGATGGTATCATTGAGGCACATACTGCCCGACCTCGAACCATGAATGAAGAGATCTTGGAGTTTTTTGTCTTGCGTGAAGATGTACATGACAAGAGCGGGTGATCTCGAATTGATAAAATGGATGGCATCGTACGCATTATCAACATTGATGATGGGTAAAATAGGACCAAAAATTTCATCCTGCATTACGGGGTCATCCGGGTTGACATCGACGAGAATCGTTGGAGCTATATATTTCTCCTGGGAGTCTGTTTCTCCACCAATTGCTACATTTGCTCCCTTGATCATGGCACTCAAACGTTGAAAATGTGAGTGGTTGACGATTCGACACAGATCAGGACTGTCCTTTGGATTTGCACCATACCATTCTTTCAGAATGTTTTTAGCCTCTTCCAGGAATTGCTTCTGAACCTGTTTCGTACATAGCAAGTAGTCCGGGGCAATACAGGTCTGTCCGGCATTGATGAACTTGCCCCACAGAATTCGTTTCGTCGCGATTGGAATGTCCGCTGTGCTGTCGATATAGCAGGGACTTTTGCCACCCAACTCCAAGGTGCATGGTGTCAGATTTTCATTGCATGCCTGATGCACGATCCTTCCTACTCGACCGGAACCGGTGTAGAAAACGTAGTCAAACTTCTGTCTCAACAGCTCCGACGTTTCTTTTGCGCCGCCTTCTAGCACACGAAAGCATTCCGAATCGAGATACTTTGGAATCGTCTCGGCAATAAACTTGGATGTCGCTGGTGCCACTTCACTCGGTTTGATGAGAACACAATTTCCCGCTGCTATTGCGGCTGCCACCGGGACCAGGGTCAACTGCAAAGGGTAATTCCATGCGCCAATCACCAGCACCACTCCGTACGGGTCCTTGTAGATGTACACTCCATCCATGATGTTGACCATCGTTTTCCCCGGTTTTTCCAGTTTTATCCATTCCTGAAAGTTATAAATGGTATTGCGAATGTCATTGATGAGGAAATCGATCTCCAAAACGTGTGCCTCCTGTTTGTGCTTTCGCAAGTCGGCTGCAAGTACGTTCACCATTTCTGCCGAGTTCTCCTCATACATGCGCAGCATGTTTTTAAGCTGCTTCTCCCTGAACTCGACATTGCGCGTCTTTCCACTAGCGAAGGTCGTGTGAAGTTGTTGTACCACGTCTGCATAGCTCATTTTGCCGTCTTGATTTTTTCACTGATATCGCCTTGGTTCTAGGGGACAGCTATTACGCCTACTCAGTCACAATCACTTCCAATAATTCACACTGCAGCTCTGCCTCACTATCAGTCTGTCACTTTTTACTTCCTTCAAAGTTCGTTGTTCTCAGCTACAACAACGTTTTAGCTTAAAATCGATATACCCGGCTTGCCGTGTTTGTTGTGATGGATCAATCTGAAGTGAGCAGCGACTAAACACACGTACAAATGACCGCTGCGAACACTAGCTACTGTTCCGACGCGTGCGACAAGTTTGCCTACCGGATTGTACCAGCATTTTCACCAAATGTACTAGAATGTTTTGGTTCTATCTCTTTCACTCTACTCAAAACTGAAATAAATAAAAAAAAATGACAAAATGATGCACTCTTTGCACACTACCAAAGATCACGCACACAAAATCAACTTTGTTCAAATCAAAACAAAAATACTAGCCAATCTGGTGGCTGATGGCACAAGCTTCTAAGAAAATTCTATTACAGCGAACCACAATATTTTAATTGATTTCTTCACCAGTTAGTCGTTTGTCACTTCGTTGGTGTCAGCATAGTCCACAAAGATGCCATGCATGTTGTGGAACTAAACAATTGCTATAAAATACGTTAATTTTTTCAGTAGTTCCATCATAAGTTTTAAATTAGGTCTCTGAAGCAGAGACGAGGGTGAAGTTTGTTATTGAATTCAGTTATTGAATTTCAGAGTCAGAGCAAAAGCTCGTGTACAGTTTCTCCACCTGTTCAATTTTTTGATAGTAAGCATCATAGTTAAGGTACACCGGGTAAGTTGAAACGGTACGATTATCTCTTAGTGGAAGTGAATATTCACTGTAACTATTGTTGCGAGGCATTGTGTACTACCTCAAAAGCAAATGGACGTTCTTAGTTCGTTGATCTTTTTAAAATGATGAGATATTAAACTGCACCAACTTGGGATGTCTATTTCAATTTTTAAATTGATTGGATAGCTAAGCGGTATCTGAAAAACATCAGAAGGGAGCATGAGGTGTGAACTCAAAATAATTTGAAGAGGGTGAGGGGGGGGGGGGGGTTCGTGCCTAGAGCTTCGATGCCGGTTTTTTTTTTCAAATACATTCATGAGAAAAATCATCCACCATAATCATCATGAGCTTCATAGACTATTGTGAAATTTGGAAGTCATACATTATCAAATCAGGGAACTGTGATGTTAGACGTCAAGAGCCATTCATTTGAATTCAGAGAACTTATTAGAATTTCTGGGAACTTTGTAAACGTTCAGGGACTGTTATAGAACTTCAAGGAACTTCATAGATCTTCAGGATACTTCGTATAACATTAGACAACGTCGTGAAAGTTACTCGGAAGCACGTTGAAATTATGGTTATTTTTCGGAAGATCTACAACTTCCTCTTTCCTTTATTTAACGTTCCGCAATCTAGTGCCAACCACCGACGGACATCGATTGTCATCCATTGACGGCAATTGAATGTGCAGGAAGGCAGCTTCCACACCTGCGTAGGATATCACACCCATTCAAACACACAACGGCTTAACTTCTCTTCCGAAGGAAGACGTGACCAATGATTTTTATGCCTCAGAAAAATTCGATTGGGTCTGCCATTGGGGTGAGCAAGTCTACAACAAGGAGTTCAGTTAATTTTGAGAAAGCTCAGTAAACTTTTCACAACTCCAGTGAACTTCGAAGAAGTGCAAAGAAGTTTGTTGAAGTTACGCGTGACTGCCTATCTCTCCAAAGGGTCTGGGTTCAATCCCAGTTGGCGCCGACGGGGTTTTCTGAGGCATACAATTTCTGATCACGCCTAGTAAAGGCGTCCGTTGGTCCTCGGTCTATGAGCTGATGGGTGTATAGGGTCCAGGTTAGGGTCGATACGCTACCTGGCGTCTATAACATTGGAACTCAGTACGGAAAACAAGATCGATGGAAAACCAATCAAGGAAAAAAAATTGTATAACTTCAACAAATTTTATGGAAACTAAGCGATCTTTAGAGAAATTTTGAGAATCTTGTAGACACTCGGTGAACTTAATTATTATTCAGGATTTTTCTTTAATTTTTTCGAACTTCGTAAAATTTCAGCCACTTTGTTCAGGAGACAGCGTAGTCATTCAGGAAATTTAAGAGAAATTCGGAGAACTTCAGATAGCTTCCGGGAATGTCGTATAAATTCAGACAGCTTTTTTTTTTGATTCGTGAAAACTTTATAGAAGTGGGATGTTCTGTTTGGGGAACTTTGTGGAAGTTTAGGAAACCTTGTTTCATTTCAGGAAACTACATAAAAGGGTTCCAGGACCTTCTCTTAATTACAATGTACTTCGTTAATGATTTTTGTTAGTTTAAGAAATTCCGTAGAAGTTCAGGAAACTTCGCAGAAAATCATCGACATTCCTAAAAATGAAGCAAACTTTGTAGACGGGAATTTTGCTACAGATCAAGGAACTTCGAAAAACTTCGGCAAACTTTGTAAAAGTTCAGGAAACTTCCTAGAAGCTCAAGACATTGCTTAGATGCTTCACGTCTCAAATGTCATGTAGCACGTCTCTTACCGATGCAATAATACACGAGCAATAATGTAGAAATTCATTAAATTTCTCAGAACTTTAATGATCTTCGTATCAGTTTAGGGAACTGTGTGACTTTGGTAGCTTTGTTTCGCCAAAATGTTCAGAAAAATTCCTAGAAAAGAATCAGGTTCTTTCCGAAAGTTTGAAAAAAGTGATGGATGTTATCAGACCGAATCAAAAATTATGGATCTAAGGCATTTAAAATTTAGAAGCTAAATGATCACAGAACATTGTATGATTTTTTTTCCTTGATGTGTTTTCCGTCAATCTTGGTTTTCGTGCTGAGCACCAATGCTACTGACGCCGGGGAGGCAGCTCCTACACCTGGACCCTACCTATCGACCCATCAACTCATGAACCGGGGACCAACGGCTTTACTTCCCATCCGAAGGAAGGCGTGATCAGAGATGTTATGCCTCAGAACATCCCGGTGGCGCCGACTGGGGTTGAACCCATGCCTTTGTGGTCAGAAACAATCCCTCTTACCACCGGCGCTGCTATCGAGAAATTGAAAGTTGAAAGCTATGAAAAAATCTTTGAAGTAATGGTAACTTCGTAGAAGTGGACGAAAAATATTCAAGTGAGTTAAGTTTTATCCTGATATAACCGATTTTGTTCACATTATTAATATGAGACATTTTCAGGAATAAGCTTTAAATATGAAGTCAAAATCTTCATTTATTTATTAAAAATCTTCATATGCCAGCTTAAAATTTAAAAATCCATCGGAAGTCTTCATGTCTTCAAAAAACTCTACAAATCATTTATGCAACACCTTCACCGAATTTTAAATGTCTGAAAAATCAAAACTATTCTTTAAATATGGGTTCCCTGGTATTGAATAGATCCAATTTTTTTATTATTCTTCGAAGAATATGAACAGTGCAAAAAAATCAAACATACATTTCAGAGCATCATATTCAACAACAACCTTTATTCGTTTTCTGGGATCTCGCGATTTGCCGGGATATCAAATAAAATATATCCCGAATCCCGGGATGGTAGGAACCCCCGGAAATTGGAAGCTCTATTCATGGCCTCCCCTATGGTCTAGATTTCAGCTGCTCCAGAGCAAATTGGTGCTTGGCATCCTCGATTTTCTATTGCTAAATCCATGACGCAGCCTCACCATCGATATTCATTTTCAAAAAGTATACTGGGACTGGTAAAGGACTGTCCATCGGAATCGGCGTCACTGCCACTTGTCTGACGTTGCTGCAAATGTGTGCTTTATTCCTGATTTGCATTCTTACCACTAGTATGCTTCGAAGAGTCATTGTGCTCTCTGCTCCTTCGCAGCGAACATTGAACTGATGGCAGCAAACATGTCCGAGTTCATAAATACATGACTGTTGTGAGACCTGCCAAAAATGTCGTCTTACCCTGAAATCCCTCGAAAGCATACAAACAGTATGCTTGCTCGTCTGATGTATGCGCTGCCCTGATTCCACCCCGACACAACAACAGCAACGACTACCTACATCATCGTAGCCGTTGTAGGCCTGCCATCTCAAACTGTCACCCATCGCTTTGAAATCCGGTCGAGTTCCGGACTAAATTCTCTCCAGTTTGCTGGTTCGCGTCGCGCGCTGTCCCGGTTGGTTGCTGGTTGGTTGACAGTTTGTATGTAGTTTTGTGTGTCCCACTCTCACACGGTGTACAAAACTAACTAACCATCATCATCCTAGTTGTCGTCGTCGTCCATTCGTAGCCATTTGTTGTCGTAGTGGCTGAGATGGCCGGAAGGAAAGGAAGGAAGCCGATCGGTCGTGGGTGGGAAAGTGGCGGGTGGAATAAATATCACTTCCACATTATGCTACTATACGCTGCAGTCGTTATTTATGATTATGTCATGCTTGTTTATAACTTTCGGTGTTCCATTACGTGCTCAACGATGCAGTTTGATGAATGTGGTTACTCCCGGTTGTGAGGATGTGATGGAATGGATCTCGGGAGCGGCTTGGCAAGAGCGTGGGAAGACAAAACCGAGAGCGTGTATGTTGCTGTCGTTAGGGAAAATGATTTGACACTAGTGGGCTGAGATATTTGCTTTTTTTTTTTTAATCTTTTATAAATCTAGCCCCTTCAAGTTTAATCGATGACTTATTCGAAAAGGCAAAGGCAAATTGTTACAGCAGCAATTTTAGATTCAACGTTAACATGCTTATCCACCTTGCAATCACAATCACTTTCCCCACTTAGTCGTGTCATTCATAGTCTATTCCATACAGAAAATTGAAACATCAACTCCAGACTCCCCGCTGCGCTGAGGTGTGCATAATTCCAGCCTTGATGATCTCCCTGCTGTGACAGCTGCTTCTCAATCCGAGTGAAATGTTGCATAAAATGTATCCTCACGCTTCATAACACCTTCTACCGTTACAGTTGCTAGAGAATGGGATTGTGCAATGCATACCGGATTTCCTCTACCTCGATCTACATTATGACACCCGTTCCTGATAGTATATGCAATCAACACAAACACACTCCCAGTGAAGCTATCTTCCCTAATGCTCCCTACGGTTAGAACCACCCGGCCAAGCAATCAC